AAATCTCACGTTGTTTAATCAGTCACCAATACCGTAGATCGCAACTATTAATTATCTTTTCACTCTTAATGACGTCATTATGCCCATGTACAATTTGTAAATACCAAGATTTGTTTTGTACATTCTACTAACTGCGATGAACAACAATTCAACTACAACTCTAATCACGTGTACATAAGACGTAATATGCGAAAGCGCATTACGTCTATTATTCGTTTGGCCTTACAAATGTAAACCACCAACAAAAGAAACATTATCATTACGTGTAAGTAACGAAATGTCAGATTGTCATGACATTTGTTACGTCTAAGAAAAATTACACGTTAATAAGGAGAAAAGCATATTTTGCGTAGTGGCGGCCATCACATAACTTTGTACTTCAGCTATGACAAATACGATTGATGCTATTAATATCATCACCAACATAATAAATAAGTAGTGAGATATTAAAACGAACTAATCACTGGAACATCGAAGCAATCGCCCAAACAATAGCTCACGCAATATCAGAGTGAGATAACGCATAGATTTATTGCTCACTTCTACTTATCTATCAATTAACTCCACACCGTCTGGCATATTTTTACAGCTAAAATAATGCTTTAATTACCACAACACGTTACTTTCCCCTCTCTTGGCTGCAGCGTGGAAAACCGCGAAAGTTAGTTCTTCAGAGCGCGCTGAGTAAACGGGCGTAAACTTACTCATACGCTACGGACACAACGAAATTAAAACGATTAAGTAATACGAACATTTAAAAATAGAAGCAGCGAGTGACATCCAACAGTGTCGAATAGTGAACTAACTCTAGGGTTCTAAATTTAAACAGCATACCGAACGGAAATTTAGAACGGCCCAACGGATTGCATGTTCTATATTTAAATGTGAGTGCAGCTGCCGGTGTGAACTTTGGTCGTAGGGATTCCGCTTTCTTTTTTTAGAGAAATAAAAAAGAGGTTTGTTTCAATCGTTCCGTTTGCGTTTGCCGGTCGAGTTCCGACTGTAATGGTTTTCTTAAAATAGGTCTTTTATCGTGTAACTTTCGTTCTTAGCATGAACTCGACTGGTATAGATCGTGATCGCAAGGCGTGGTCGCACCGATTGTTTCATAATTGGCATTGACAGTGAAAGTGTTTGCATTAAAGCCATCAGATTTTGTTGGTAAATATTTTCTATTGTTTTCCGCGTCCGTTATCAATATTCAATAGGTATATTTCCATACTTTCACTGGATACGTTGGAGGTGCTGGTTGAATATTAGGCCAGCACAAGAAATTGCACTTATGCCTGCATACTTTCCATCCTGAATTATGTTAATAGTTCCTAGATAAATATTACATCACGATTTCTGTCAAAGAGTCACTGAATACTTAATTATCTTACATTAGGAGGTTATTATAGCTTTATCACAAGTTTTTTCTAAACCTTAATGTTGTGCTAATAATTGCCATTCTCATATATCACATAGTAAATGAGCTAATAAGAAATGGCCATAAACAGTTTTAGGAAATTTCTAGTTAATATTACAATGTATGTTAATTCTACAAAAGTACTTAAATGCTTATATCGCCTTTAAGACTTTCTAAAGACTCAAATTAAAACATTTAGCTTGGTTTTATTACATACTATCATCATATTCATGTCCCAGTTTCTGGGGGGTCTACCCCAATTGGCCTTCTCTATGGTTCAAAAAGGGAGTATTAGCCATGACCAACGTATTCGAAATTTCCCGGTCCCATTGCAGAATGGCTCGTGCTAACGAATGGGTTATTGTGAGTGCAGTCGATTTCAACGGCTCGACGCGCTTTCCCGAAGATAGAAAAACTCAATAAATTATTTTGGCTACCCATCTTATAACCGGCCATAGCGAGAGATGCTTAACGTCCACGATCGCAGTACGACCTTTTCATTCTAAACCAAAGCATAATTGACATACACATCCTGGTGTTACATCGGGCGCTCATTATTAAATTGCACAATACGAAAGAGTGCCTCCTAAAAAGAACCCAAGGCAGCCATAGATAATGATATTCCGTGTGACGTTGGAGCGTTTTGGAACAACTCGGGCGTTTAAATTGCAATAAGCCCGCGCATCCGGACAGCTCGAGGAAGTGAGTAGTAAAAACGTTACCACGCACGTAACGGTGAAAGTATTCCTGGTCACGCCTCTGTCTAGATCTGGGAATAGAATTTTAAATTAGGAACTCCCATCATTAATCCCGGCATCGGATCCAGTTCAGTTCAGATCTTATTTCTCGGACATTTCAGATCGGGTTTACCGAATCAGTGCATGAGTGCAAGATATCTGGTTGATTCATTGAATCATTTTTATAGACAGCCTGATCTAAAATTGCTTTTTAGTGTTCTCCCATATACTTTTCAATGGTAATATAAATAGTTTACGATCATGCATATCTATCATCATCATCATGAGCCTTTTAATGTCCCCACTGCTGGGGCACAGGCCTACCCTATGGATGGAATAGGGAGATTGGGTCATGACCCACCACGCGGGCCCAGTGCGGATTGGCGGGTGCTAACGACTGCAGACGCAGCCGGGACCAACGGCTTAACGTGCCTTCCGAAGCATGGAGGAACTCGAGATAGAAGATTTTTGGTCACCCATCCAATGACCGACCACTGCGAAAGTTGCTTAACTTCACCGATCGCCGCCGAAAGCGCTAACCACCCGCGCCATCTAGATGCATATCTATATAACGACCTAAAGCTAAGAAAACTTATAAGCCGAATTTCTGTGACCGATTAGCCGTCTTATGCTGCTTCTGCAATGTCTACCGAGTGATCAAGAGTCAATGACCATTCGAATTTGGGCATGTTTATTTCAAAATAATAATGAACATGATTCACTTGTTGAATAATCGCTCGCGAGCTTGCTCTGACGCCACTCAAGTACTCTGCGGAGCCACTTCTCCTTATGCCGCAATTACATTCGGTCGTTAGTCCGTGCACTAAATACATTATTCGAATTCAGGTACCCGAAGCAATATTTACACTGGAGTACGGGCCGGAAGACTGTCGGGTAAACAAAAGGAAATCTACCCGAGTAAGGGCGTAATCGACTCCTTTCATTTACGCTTAGGCGTTTACCCGAAAACCATTGGCACTCGGTTTCGGTCTAACGACCAAGAGTAGTCGCTCCATTACTCACTTGAGAGACACAAACTTTCTGAATAACTTTATTTCGGTGCAGCGTTTGCGATATTTATCTAATGATCCTATTCACCACATGCACGAAATTTCAGAAAAAAATATTTGTGCGCGTGCAGTCTTCATCTATGACATGGATACTACTTCCCTGGTCACTCGCTCCAGTAACGCTTCACATCATGCGAGCAGGAGAAATTTCTTATGCTTTCACTTATTCTCTTTAAAATAAACCTTTTCTGCCACACTTAGAAACGTCAAAAAATTGCAATTGAATTAATGAACCATGAAAAAAGTCGCACATTGTCTTATTCTACTTTAAATTGAAAAGAAAAGACAGATTCTACTTAAAGTTTAACAAAAAAGTTAATGTATTGTGTTCTCTCATTCAGACCGTTAAAATATCTTCTTATGTTTCTGTTTCATTTTTAGGTACGAGAATCGAACTATGGACAAGCCTTCAGCATGCGACTAACTCTAACCCTAGCTTCGAAATGTACATAATTAATTTCGAGGTACATTTAACGGGCCTCAAAATATTAAAACAGTTAACCCGCTCGACTATGATGAGACCACGCCGCTGGGTCAGCTGGCTTACTTTCAAATTGTACAGTTAACTTTATATAATAACTCGTAACATTGTTTCTGATCGTTAGGCAATTAACTCGGGTATTTAACAAATTATTTTGCAACTCCGTCCAAGTGATAACATCGACATGTTTTGGTCTTATCGACTCTGTATCCCATCTTGTCGATAATACTTAATTGTCTGCGCTATTTCCTTGGCACTATTGAAATTGCATGTTTTATCTATATGAAACATCTAACTTAACCAAGTAGCTTAAATAGTTTCCAAACATAACTTAATGATAGAAAAACGAAAATCGTGAGCATCTAAATTTATGATTATGACTAATGATGATTTACAATTTGTTTTAAGTTGAGTTTGAATTATATTTGTTTCTTAGGTTTTCAATGAGTTTGAATTGTTGAGTACTAAAAATGTTGATTTACAAGTATATTCTCCTCATTATTGAAACATATTACGTACGAATAATGAGGTCGACATAAAGTAACTGTAATTAAAATAAAAATATTAAAAAAGGAATGCAGTTCCAGATGACTGTAAAGTCAACTTGCCCTGATTCAAATTCTCAAAGAAGGACTTATTCGTACTTCTGACCTAAGTAATATCGATCGGTCTAAATCTCACTCCAACATACTTATAATACACGTCCATCCAAACGTACGGCTCAATTGTTATTTAAATGGGCAAACGTTTGACACTCACAATTCTACTAAGCTCCTTGATGTATGATCCACGTGCGACGTTCTATCCCAACTAAATCCCTGATAAGACAATTGAACTCGTTTATTTTGAGTTTAAACTCACTACAACTACATACACTGTACTGATTGAAATAAAAGTCAACTGACAAAAAGAGAGACATAAAGAATTCTTAACACATTTTATATGTATATGGTATGACGTTGACCAAGAATATAATGTCTCGAGCCCGTACTTTGGAAGGCACGGTAAGCCGTCGGGAATCCCAATCTCAATTCCTAAACGCATCAACTGCAGTCGTTAGCACTCTCCGATTCGCACCGAGCCTGTGTCATGATGAGTCATGCATGGCCCAATCTCCCTATTCCATCAATTGGGAAGGCCTGTGCCTCAGCAGTGAAGACATTAAAAAACTGATGTTGATGATCACGTTTATCGAGAAATCGCTCAGCATTATTATTTTCTTTGTTTACAAATCTAAGTAGAAGGCTTGGTTTCAATCTATAACAACCTTTGACCATCCTAACATAAAGTTCATATTGTTTCAGACGACAGACAGCGCAGACTTCCTGGCGACGCGCGCGCACACAGCCGCCGTCATCCCGGGCAAGCCAGCAGCCAACCCCCTTCAGTTTGTGCGAGTTGGTCCAGCTGACCTGGGCAGTCGCGCGCGTGAACAACTCCGCAGGGCAGAGCTAGCTAAGCGAACTGAGCCCGCGAGGATAGAAATACAGGAAGACTGGCAGTCGGTAAGCATATAACCTTTTTTTCATCAGAGCTAAGCAAATTGGTCCAGACCACATGACCACGACCGAGACCACGTCATCAATCATTCCATTCGTGGGACACCCATTTCTGCCTCTTTACTCCCACAACGGTTATCATTCTCCATAAATCTTTCGATTTTTTCGTAGCGTCACGTAGCGCTGAAAACAGAACGCTTATCATTAACAGAGGACCAATTTTCAAAAACGAATCCATATTTAAAAAAAAATACAAGGAAAATATTATTTTAAAAAAGTCCACGCGCAAAAGTAAAATAAAAAAAGTAAAAAAGATTTGAAAAAGGGAAAGATCGGACTTGAAATAGCCAGTACGGCAGAGCGGCGATTTCATAGGTACGACCAATTTATATTAAGAGTCGAGTGCTGGATTACCATGAATACATGACCTCAGACATAGGAAAGTGAGTTTTCATGCATTAGCAAAATCAACACCATGAAAATTGATATGCAAACTACTCTACGAAGGTCATAACATTAAACATCGTGTTCAACCAAATCATGCACCTGTATTAGGCGTCAAGTAGAAATACCACGTCATTAGAAGGTTAAAGTGTGAAATCTGCTTTCACGGTTATCGTCAATTTGTCTTCAATCTTGTGGTTGTCATCAAAGCCCTTCGAATTTTGGTAACACTTCCAAGCCTATCCACTGTAAGTGGGCCAAGCTTGGTTTCCAATGCAATCCTGTGGCTTTAAGTAATTCAGCTGAATTATGCTTACATTAGGCCCGTGTTGTCCAAATAAAATATTTAGTTTGGAGTCTTACGTTATAAAGACACATATTGTCTAAAATACTTAATAACAAAATTGATTGCCCTCAAATTCTGGATACAATCAATTTCAATGTTCCTTCAAGATATCCCCGAAGTAGGATAGACCCTCATAAAGCACCTCGTCGCAGAACAGTATTCGGATCCAACTCCCCTATTTCAAGACTATGCAAGCTGGTAAATGAATACACAAAAAAATGTTCAGCTTGATATTTTCTGGGACTCACCTGACAAGCTTCAGTCTAGTTTATTTGTCACAAAACAGTACCTAAAAATATTGTAGTGTTTGGTTTTAGATTAAGCTGATTTTTAGATTGTATGTTGTTTAATTGCATGATTTATTTACCTATAAGTAATTGTTACACTTGAACTTTAAACAACTTAAAATGTTTGCGTTACTATTTTTGGTGTATACAAATGTTGGTAAATCAATAAATGAAAAAAAAAAAAAACAAATCCATTGAACTTTTTGAGTTGAGTCTGTTGAGTTCTTGTATTTTTGTTTATTATAGGAAGGTTTACAGCAAAAGCCCAATAAAAACCTCCACACATTAGTATGATTGAGGAGCTAGCAGACAATTTCTCGTTTTCATTTCTATTACAGACTGAATAGATCCAATGTCCTTTAATTCTAATTTAAGTGTGATGATGGTACATTGAAGTCTTGATTCTGATATAATAGTTTGAATACCTACCTTATGATATATTACTGCGATTTTATTAACGTACGTGAAGCCTAAACCGCTTTTTTTATTTAAAATGGCTTTTAGCCGGCCTGGCGATGCGACAAATAGTAAAAACCTCAGAAACCTGTATTGCATTAACTGCTCCGATAATACAATAAAAATAAATGAAAAGAAGAAAAACTTTTTTAAAACAAGGTTTTATTAAATGTGTTAAAAAGAATAAAATAAATGTTTCCTCTAAAACTTTTACGTGAACATGAAACGTATAACGCCATTACACAATTTATATAATATAAAAGCTTATCGATCTACCTGTGTATATAAACAAAATCTGACCGGATTGAATTTTTACTTCTTCCTGTGCCCAAAATGCAAGTTAAATAAAACCTTTTAATAGGATTGTTTCCATCCCTATTTAGTTTCTTGGAGACTTTTATCATTAAGTCACTAAAGAATTTGATTAATTGCTTTTCATAAAGATGAAGTTATAAATCTTACGAGCTACAATTTGAAAAAGCCTATTACAGTCTTTTCGACATTTGTGAAATAAGCTGACAGCTAAGCTGACTGAATGTGCGAAATTAAATATAGATTGTAGACAATTAAGATAACAAAATCATACTTCGAGTCGAAGGCGTACTCGTGGATTCCGTCAATTTACTATTTTTTAGACGACCTTAATTATATTTACTTGGAAATAGGAAAGTTAGTTCTTAAGAATTACAATCAGGTTAATTGGTGGCAGATCCACAGTATGGCTTTCTTTTCTTTTTTTCTTGTGCCCAAAAACTCACATAAAGCTTCTTCGAATTATTGATGAACAGTATTTTGGGTTGAGCAATTTATTGGTCGTAAATTTTTCAAGTTCATTATTTTTCTTGTAACGTTACAAGTGAGTATTTTTTTTTGTACTTTATGACCATGATGAACATGTTTACATTATTATTATCGATTTTGGTATATTCAAAGTTATTTCGACTGTAGTAAAGGTAATTATTAATAACTATTTTTTTTTAAATTGTGTAATTAAGATACCCAACCCGGGCGTCTTTACCAGTACCCCAGGCTGGGAAGGAAGGAACACTTGCATTAGCAAAGCAAAGTATTCTATAGTGCGACAAAGAAATGAGTCACCAAATTTCTTTGATAGCGTTTGAAATGGTGGTATTTTCTGTAAATTAGTTGCAATGGAATAAAATATGCACTCCTGAGTCCTGGCTCGTTAATATTTACTCTCATCATCAACCTAGTAATCTCCCCACTGCTGGGGCACAGGCTTTTCCTATCGATGGAATAGAGAGATTGGGCCATGACCCACCACGCGGACCCAATGCGGATTGGCGGGTACTAACGAATGCTGATGCAGCAGGGCTAACGGCTTCACGGGCCTTCGACCCTGAAGGGTCTAGTACCCATTGGACCCTCCTAATTGGACCTTACCTACAAAAAAGTGCCCGTTCGACCTCCTATCAAGAACATGGTGCCCATTGGACCCTCAAAGACGTACTTAACAACACTATGGGAGCTATTGGAGCTCTTAACTATTTGGCTAATTCTTTTGGAACGGTAAAGTACAGTCGTGTAGTAAAGTAACATTGTAAAAGACATAAAAACACAAAGGTTATAAATCTAAGTATTTAATCAACATTTTTATAAAATTCAAAACTCTCCATCAGTAACAACCAATATAAATATTTACATAAAATATAATAATCAAATCACGGATTTTTTACTTTACTTTTAAAGCCAATAGAAATTATTTTTTGTCAAATAGCTCAACTTAATTATAAATATGGTTTGTTATATCACACAGATTAAGCACAATTATTATATATTCTAAATATTGATAAAATAAATAAAAGCACAAAGGTTGTAAATGTAAGTATTTAAAATCAACATATTTATAAAATGCGAAACATCAATCATCAGCAACAAACCATAGAATATAATAATCAAATCACAGATTTTGTTATTTTACTTTTAAATAGAAATGTTTTTTTATCAGATATCTTAACTAAATTATACATACAGTTTTTATATCACTCACATTAACTATTGAAGCACAATTATTATGTATTCTAAATATTCATAAAATAAAATACAAATGTAATATTTTCATATTATATTTTATAAAAAAATGATTTCTAATCATATTTTTACAATTAGCCAGAAATTGCTTATAATAAAAACATACTTTAACTAAAGGATATTGTTCAAAAGCGGTAGTCGGTTTCCGGCAGGGACGAAATATATATATTTTGAAATTTTGTATAACATGTATAGATACTTCGATTTTTTTATTCATTACCGATTAATTTAAATCGTGTTTAATAATTAAACAATTTTTTAAGTATACTGGCTACCCTATCTTAGTAACGTCATATTTTTAGTGCGTGGTGGCTTATAACGTCAACTCAATCACTATGGCAAATGTCAATCAGTCCAGTCATGGATTATTATCAAAATTATTATCACTGCTTTTGTTACGCATTGAATATAATATATTTGATGCTTGGCAACAAAAAATAGACAAATAAACTTGCCATTTGCAAATCAATTATTAGATAGATTTATGTTATTTAAATATAAAAAACCGGGATAAAATAAAATTCTAGTTTTTTGTCAAACGATTCACAATTAAGTGCGCTGCGTCTCATAAAAACTTGGAGTCTGCCAAAAGACCCACTACCCCACTACCTACCTCCATAAAAAATTTAACAGTCTTTTGTAAAACATTATAAATTACCAAATTAAATATTTAAGATACATATGTGAGTAATTTTTCTAAGCAATGGCCTACGGTTGTAAGATTATTTTCTAGCTGCAACGTAGGTCATAAATCGGAACGAGACAGCAAATTTTCTCTCTCTCCCACACATGAGATCGGCGCCATCCTTTTGTTTAAGCGCAGAGATTGCTTGGGCTTGGAATCTATAACCTTCCTTTCATTAGGTGCTTAAGAGGAGTATAAATGTCGATAAAAACACTCAATCTACCTCAGCATTTCAGTCTTAGATCAAAAGATGATTTCGTTGCAAAATCCACCATCATGTTGCTTAGATTGTCTAGATCCAAGCTGTTTTAAGGAACTTTGAATCAATCGAACTTTGTTCGATTTGAAAGGTCTTGTGGATTTGGTGTTGCGCTGTAAGGGTATTTATTGGTCAGTGTACGATCGCCCTATTGAGTGAAACCTTTTTACATTAATGACTATTAATGTAATTAAATTTTAAATTAATGTAATTAATGATCATTCTTTTAAACCTAAAGCACAAACATATATTATGTCCTTTAAAGAAAAAAAGGTTTTACAATATTTACGAAAAAAAAGATATTGAAGTATTATCATTGTCACTTGCACCCTTATAACACATAGAACTAAAATACATGTCAGTAGTGCAATATTTGGTTTTGGCTCCTTGTCAATACGAATAAAATAAAAATAAACATTATACAAATTAAATTTTGATTACTTTTGATTCAATTTTTATTTTCTAACTATCTCCATT